GCATTTATGGACAGACTTGTTAGTCATTAATATTCTTTGTACTCTTCATCTTTGGCTTCAAAAAAGAAGGCCTTTCATCTTTTGCCTTGCTTTGTTTTTCAGAAGAAGCCAATTTTGACTGGAGGAAAAAAAGAAACCAAAAAACATTTCTCTGTAGCTTTCTTATAAGCTTCCAAGCAGTCTCCCCTGCTGACTTTGTACTTTCACAGTAGACAAACATTGACTTTGTTTCCTCAGCTTGACATAAAATATAGCTGACTTTTTTTTTTTTCCTGGTTTAAGTTTTTGGTTACATATCAGTAGCTTGACGGGAGAGGATTAATTAGCAGCTTCTGGTGTATTTCACTGAAATTCTCATTTTTTCCCCAATTTTTCCATCAGGTGTATTGTACATGAAGTCTAGTTGTAAAGAGAACATAAGTGTGTGTCTGAACTTGGAAATATTGTGAAGTGTTCCCTGGTTTGGAGCCTAGATGATTGTTGGGGTTGCTGTGTGTATTCCTGTTGCTTTCATTAAGAGATCTCAAAATGCTGATACCTAGGAATGTGCTTCAGCTCTGCATACCTGGGGTGAAATGTGTGTGGACAAGTGCACTAATAAAGCATATCCTTTATTGGGAAAGGCTTTCTTTTCATCACTCAGTGCTCTCCTGTTGTAAGTGGTCAAATCTGGAGTCTTGCTAATCCGCAGTGCCAGCCAAAAGGAAGGTGCAGAGGCACAGTGCTTCGCTTCTGATCAGCATGAAATCTCACAGCTCGCTTCTGACAAGCAGGACCAAAAACAAAAACAACTTCTCGCCCGGGCTGTGTGTTTTGGCTTTGGCATAAAACTCACTTGAGGTTTGTTAAATGCTTTTCTGAATGTACCAGTGGTTCATATCCATTCTGCTCAGGTTCCCTCGCTACTAGCTCTGATGCAGTGCATATGAGCGCGATCATTAAGTGTGATTAGCACATTTCTGACCTATTTAAAAGTCTCTGGCTGTGAAATTCCAAAGATTCTAATTTAAGCTATAAAAAAAAAGATTAATAATGTGCTGTCATTTACACATTTTGTGGCTCATTTCCTGAGCGATTTTGAACACGTACATATAGTCTGTGTGAATGCGTGTGTATAAACATCATACAGCGTGCAGGGTCTGGTCACCCGGGCTTGGGGCTCGTCTTCCAGGGAATTTATTGTCCACAAATCAAAGCAGATAGAAGAAAAAGCCACAAGTGCGAGAAGCTGCAACTTTCTTCATGGGTGCAGAGAAAAGGCCAGATGCTTTCTGTGGGCTGGAGCTCAGGAGAGGAACGAGGATTATGCAGGGATGCAGAAATTGGGCGCAAGAGCAGACTTCAGGCAGACATCGCTGTGCAACCCCTTGCTCTGCCGTGTGGACTGGAGAAAGTGCCCTCTGAAAGCATCGGGGCTCTGTGGCAGTCCCTGGACTGCTGCCAGGGCACTTCTGCAGGAACACAGGCTGGATGCTGTGAGTACCCAGTGGGTCTGGGAAAAACAAAGATGACTGTTGAGGTCTTCTGATCTCTTCTGTCACTTCATTCAAGTCTGTTGTCTTACTCAGGGGACTGAAGCTCTGCCGAGCTTCTTTATCTGCATGTGGAGAAAGGAGTTTGAGGTTACAATTACACGGGTCACTGGTGATGTGGCTGTTGGGGTGACACAGTATGAAGTAATTCACCAAGGCTTCAGATGGAGTGGCAAACAATGGACCCAGTAGAACCCCTTGGGTTTGGAGTATGAAGCCTTAAAATGTGTAGGCTATCCACTAATTGATTGTGTTGTTTACTTGGGTGGCTTCTTCCTATTTCCCATCCTATCTAACAGCTGGAGCTGCTGCAAGTCTGTTGGGTTTGAGCTGGAGATGTTCAGGGATCTCTGACATGACACCCCAATATCACCAGCATCACTGACGCTGTAGGATCCTGTGCCTTTTTCTGAAGGGTCAGGGGGTAAGCTCCAATACCTATTAGGAGAAAAAGACCAAAGTGATAGACGGATGAAGTAGTTAATTTTGCTTATTGACTTATTCTTTTGGGTCATGGCATATGGCCACAAAGACCTCATTTGACAGAATAAAATAATTTTGTGCTGAAGTGTTTTGTTTTTATTGCTTTGGTTGGAGGCTTGGTTGTTTTGGGGTTTTTTTGTTTGTTTGTTTTTAAATCATTGTAATAATGGCTACTGCACCTATCATGTCCAATGCAACCAAGTCAGGAAGCAAGCAAAGCCTGGAAGACCACAGCTTAGAACACTCTTGATTTTGCCATCTTCAAAATATATTGTTAGGACAGATTGGTAAGTATGCTAAGCCTGTAACCTTGCAGATGCTTTGAAATAAGCTGAATAATTTGGGACATGTGGCCTGTTCTTCAGAAGTCAGGGACAGTATCTGAGCGTGGGCATTTGCAAATGAAGGACAGGGCTGCTAGCTGTTTAGGGACGAGTTTTTTTTTCTTACTGTCCTTTAGAGTAGTTGGCTCTCTGGTCCTACGTGAGCTGTCAGATAGGGATATCTGGCTCTGAGATGAGCAGTGACTTCATGCGAATTCGGGATGCGTGCTGAAGTAGGATCTGGAGCAGAGCAAGGTGAGACGTGCCCCTTCTGTTCAGGAGGACTGGGGCATGGTTTGCTGTGCCAAGGCCTGGAGGAGAGGTTTCTGATCCTTTCAGTCCATGTGGAGGTTGCCAGCATGAACCTCACACCAATTCTGCACGTCAGGGATGGGATCTGTGCTTTTGCTCACAGCACGTGCCTCTGTTAAACAGCACTTCAGCTGTTTGTTGTGTATTGTTTTAAACCATCCCCAATAAAAATGTTGTAAAGGCAGAGTCGCTGCAGGTCATTATCCAGATGCTAGAGGTGATTTAGATCCTTTGGATCCCGTTTGGCTCAAACAAGAAGTTGATCGGGAGGCTAGCTAAGCCCTAAGATACCACGTGGTGTACAGGGTTGTAAGTGTCAGCTTGTCATTTTCAGTCTTATTTCTTAATGTGGTGTCGTAAATTATAAATGTACACAAACACCTACGAGAGCATTTCATTCATAAGCTGCCAGGCTGCGGTGTGCGTGTTGAAATGCTGTTTTGGGGGTTGTTTGTGTTTTCTAGGATAACTTCATTAACTGGTGCTAGACGTTTCTCAAATCCACACAGAGCACACGAGAAGCACACATCTTGTAGTGATCCTGCTCTTAAAAAGCACTTGGGCTTTTTTTCATTCCATAAAAGACCTTTTGTGCAACAAAGCCTTTTGTTCTTTATGGCATAGCTATTAGCTGTTACTAGGTCATGTCAGGAAGGTCATTATTTACAAATTGGTGTGCTGTGGGACTTGGCAACGTGTGCTACAGCATCACGTAGGCTAGCAGAAATATTTGAGGAAAATGTGCGAGAGGGCTGTATGAACGGGGCTGGCTACAGTAAAATCCCTCTCTTGGAGTTCCTCTTGTGCTTTTTCTCTTCTGGGGTACAGCAACGTTCACAGCTGTGCAGCTTGTGTATTAAAGCCAGTATCTTCCAAAGTGGAACCACAAATGACAGCAGTATTATGATTAAAGGGCAGTCGGTCCTGATGGTTAGCCCGACATAAAATACAAATCTGGCTGCGGTTAGGAGAATGTGCCCATCTAATAAGCAGCTTAACTTGGTGTATTACTGTGAAATAGAAAGAAGCATGAAATATGTGATGTGAATAGTAGGCTGGATTTCCTTGTCACTTCATATTTATGTTCCTGGAGCTACCCTGGCTTCACCAGGGTTGCTTCTGAATAATCACCAGGGTTGCTTCTGAATAATGCCCAACTGAATGAGAGGTGGATTTCTACTTCTCAACAGCTTTAATTTTTTTAATTTGAAGACATCAGTGTAGTTGAAATTCTGTTGTAGCCTTAGATTTGGAGTTTTCATATCAGATAAAATGCACTCAGTAAAAAGTATTTGGTCCAAAAATTATATATTTTTTCCCTGATCCTGATTTTTTTTTTTTTTGCCCGCTCGGGGAAAAAAATTCCTAATATTTTTCCCAACTGCTACAACTTCATGTACAACTCCATTAAAGAAAATAGGACTCAATCCTTGCTGGTTAATGGGAGTTGGATTGGACCATTGAAGTCCAATTTCGGGAGGGATATTAGCAGATACTAAGGCTTGATCCTCAGCATTTTGCTGTCAATAAATGAGCAATTGCTATCTACACAGCAGCGGGTCTAGTACGGGGCTGAGTTTCTAAGAGATTGAGAGCACTTGGCTTGAGTATTGCTTTAAGTTTTTTGAAATCAGTTAAAGTGAGATAAATCCAGTGACTTGTTCATGTCCATTGGAGTTGCCGAAACTCTTTTTTCCCAGTGAGAACAGATCCTGGTCCTCTGTGCCTGGCGGGGTGAAATCAGCAGCTTTTCCCCAGGGACTATAAATAGCCTGATGAGTGTTTGTGCTCTAAAGGAGGTGTTCAAACAGCCACTCAAATCCTACTTCCAAACTACTTTAAATCACTTCCTAATGGCTTCTGTTACAGGTAGACAGGCTTTCCTTTTTGCTAGAGTTATGCGCCTGAATTTATTTCAAGGTGGTCGTGTCTCTCTCTGCTACCCTCCTGGCATAACTCTTCCCCTTTACGAGCCACGTCCAAATATCCCAGTGGCACCTTGCAAAAAGAACAGCCTCGTGTATAAGGCGTGAGGCCATTTGGGTAGGCAGCACAAGAAATCAGAGGTTCTGTCCTGAACACCTTCTCTTTGGATGCTTTGACAAGGCCCGTTCAAAACTCTTCTGGCAAGTGATATTCGCGAGCATGTGCGGAGAGGAATGCGGAGCAGCTCGAAATGGTCGGGACTGGGAAGACGCACGACAACTGCTTTGTGTAAGATGATCGGTGTTCCCAGGAACAAATGGGGCATTGAGATGACAAATGGAGCGGTGGAGCTGCAGCTGGGCTGCGAGGGCTGTGGCGGTGCTGCGGAGCGGCTGGATGGCAGCTTCTGCAGTGCTAAGAATAATAAAAATGGATTTGCTCTCAGCGCATGGAAGGACTTTGTCTGTTGATCGATACAAACTATTTCATGTTACGTTTGAGTTTTCTTATAAATTAATTCTGTAATTCCCATTGATTTAATTAATCAGGTTCCAGGGTCTTGATTTGCACAATTTTCTAGCACTGATTTCATAACTGGAAGTTTTTTAGGCAAATAAATGGCCTCTGTGCTTACTTGCTGGGTGGGGTGTCTGGTGATAATTAGTACATTTATCAAGGCGTCCTTCCCTGCTAGAGACAGGCTGTTATCCACTTCTGGTAGGCGGAAACAGAGGGACAGGGAGATTGTGGGATTCATCTAAGGGCCGCTTTGTGATGTAGCAGGCAACAGGGGTTCAGAGCTGGCTCCTGAAACCCTTCCTGGTCCCCCGAGTCTTGGACTGCTCTTCCTTAGGGCGATCTGCTGCCTTTCAAGCTTCCTCTGTAGCTTGAAGACAACTCTTAGTCCTCTGTTGGAAAAGATTGAGAAACTCAGTAAGTATCTGAATAAAGAGCACAGTTTGGAAGCTGCTGTTGGTTCCCCTCAAGGTGCGGTTTGCGTGTAGACTGGGGACCCGGGGAGCTTGCACTGATCTCATTTGGAAAGAGCATCAGGGCTGAAAGCAGGAGCAGCCAGGGGCCTCCTGGAGGGATGGGGAGGGGATCTAAAAGCTGTAAGAAAGCAGTGAATGCTACTGGTTCAGATCGAATCTTGCTCTTAAGCTGCCTCCCAAGGGAAAGGTGTTTGGGAGAGCATCACTTGGGGCTTTCAAATGGCCTTGACCAATTTCCCCAAGATGATTTATTGCTGAAAAGGGGAATGAGTTTGCCCAATTTCTCTCCCAATTACTTCAGATAATTCCTGGCTTCTACAGTGCCAGAACCATGAAAGCTGATGCTGCACCTGCCTTGTCATGGGTCTAAGGCATGGGTCAGCCTGAAGTTCCCCGTATTTGTGACAGCAGCGAGTGAGGCTGACGTGCCCTTTTACCAATGGGCCAGCTCTAGAAAAGCCAAGAACCATCAGCTTTTACCTTGGCTTACCTCCCTGCTGTGAAAAAGCAGTACTGGATTCACAGAGACTTTACGCAGGTCCTTCTTGTAAGTGCTTAAAATATTGAGAAGTTTGTTCCTGGCAGAGTAGCAGGGGGCTGAATCCAGTACCAGCAGTGGAAGAGATCTTTTTTGCAAAGACCTGTGCTAATGGGAAATACCTGTAGAAATGCAAACAGGCTTTTGTCTGAAATGCTAAAAAGTAGAATAGCAGAAAACACAGAAGAAAAGAAGAAGAAAAGTAACTTGGTGAAGAGTCACCTTGGCATAGCCTTCAAAGGTTGTCGCTGTCAGTGAGCAAGGTGCAAGTGCAAGGACTTGAGGTTGTGGCATCCGACCTGCTTGGGCTGGGAGCGCTGTGGGGATCTCCTGCCGCTGGCTTGGTGGGGAGTGGTGCTGGTTTCTTGGCTTCCCACCTCGTGTGCTAATAACCACGGTGCTCTGATTAGGTTTGGTTTCTTTCACTGGAGTCTGAGCATGCGCTTGGCCTTCCTCGGTAGTTAAAGGAGGAATTAATGCTGCATTCTACTTAATTGTTCGTCAACAGCTAAAATCATGACAAAACCACTCTACTCCAATTAGTAAAACAGCAATTAAGAAGACTTAATTAGACAGACATCTGAAGTCTTACTGCTTCCTTGGCCTGGGAATGCTTTAGCAGATCGGGGTGTGCAGCTGACTCTGCTTAGCCTCAGCCCTGTGCTAATGAGCAGAATCACTCATTTCCTCATTTAGAAATATTTGACCTTAAGATATGAAAGTATCTTGGGGAGGTGATTTCTAAATCATGGAAACCTGTGTTTCAAGACTCCCTTAGTCAATATATAGATTTAATTTATATACATCTCTAGCTCATTCATATTGCTGCTAATTACTGTGTGAAGTAACTAGTTTAGCAAGACCAGCTTAAGAGATGAATGACAGTAAAACCTTTTGAAGATAATTTTTTTATTATGACAAGGCCGGAGAAATTCGTACCCCTCAGTTAATTTGCAAACTCACCGAACCTCCCTTCATTGTTGTTTTTTTCCCCTAAAAACAAAGATGCTGTCAGCGCAAGTCACCATTTCACCAAAAGGGTCGTTTACCTTTCATAAAAAATAATAAAGAGCTGCATAAATATTCTCTGTAAGCTGCTGCTGGATTGTATTAGTGAAATATGTCAGTGTTTGTGGCATGTGCAGCCCCGCGTTTTATGACACCACTTGAAAAATGCGAGACATTCGTATGAGTTATTTGGAACATGGTGACAGGACTGTGACATAGCTGTGTTATAAGGAGCGTTTTCAGGCATACAGGGGAGAGCAAACACCTTTGTGACCAAGCCTTGCCAGTGCTGGAGGGGCAAACTTCAGCCCGGGTGGTACTGAAAGGTGTCTGCGGGGCTCTGCGGGTTGCTGGATTTGCCTGCCAGCATGACCCTGTGCCTCTGCTGGGACTGTGTGCTTAGCCATCTGCTTGGTCCCTGCTATGAAGATCTTTTTGTATGGCTTCCAGAGGCTTGGAAGGAGGTTTTTTTGACAGCTTTTGTAGTACTGGGGCTCTACCGTACTTAGCTATGGCTTAAGTGAGCTTCTCAGGTTATCTACATGTTGCCAAGATGCTGAGCTCAGTCATAGAAAGGTAGACACAGAAGAATCTAACAAAGGTTGGCTTTGACCTCTTCAGAAACCTTGGATTTTCCCCTGGCAATGTTTGCTGTTACCCCAGCCCCCCTCTACCCCTGGAGCTGCCTCCCTGAGCGTCTCCCATCCGATGTGACAATGGTGGGTAGCAAAGAGCAAGGAAGAAGCAGCTTCTGCCTGCATCTCTTTATGATTATATGAAGTCCCTATGACTTCGGTGTATTATCTGCTTAAAATCAATGTACCTGACAAGTTTGTTTTAGCACATTTTGAGATGTATTGCCATCTTGAGTTGCAATACAAAAGGACGCACCTGCAAGCCTGCTGGAGAGCTGCCTGGAAGGATTTGGAGTCAATGTCCCAGGGGACAGCTGCCCAGTTCAATCCTCCCCTTTCACATAGCTCTTTTCTCAAAGAATGAACTACTGCGAGGAGTTGCTGTATGCAAATTTGAGGTGCAACCTTTTGTCTCTCCAGCATTTTCTATCTGAATCTCTCAAAAAGTGGCTGCAGCTTCCGAGCTTTGGACTCTGGCTCTGAACCCCCCAGCTGAGGGCTGGGATATCGACAGCATCGCGTGGTGTCTCGAGGTGCAGCCTTCACCATGCAGCAGGCGATGGCATTGACAAACCCCACAGGCAGATGATTTGTACTGCAGACAGCAGCGCAGAGTGGGGGCTCTTCTGGTTAATGAATATTGAACTTCCCCTGTCTAACAGCAAGTTGAATCCTGCTCTGCAAACGAGCGTCTTTGGGAGAGGCTGGGCTGCAGACTGCTGGTGAATCCATCAATTCCTGTCTGGGTGATGAGTGTTCTCCAAACTGGGCTCTGCTGGTCACCCAACAGTTGGTGCCATGCAGTGTGATTATTTCTTTTAGTTTCCCAGTTCTTAATATTCTTCTGAAAGCTGAGGGTCTTTACTCAGTGCTGGATGCTTTTCTGTAGCTGCTCACGTGGCATTTTGTACATGACAATATCCCGCTTTGGAGAGAATTGGTGTCATAAATTTGTGCACGCAGCAGTCCTTAAATTCAGCTCTATTTGTGGCACGAGTTCCAAAGGGCACATATGTCTCAGAAACATTGTGACTGTTGCATGAAATGGTAATTTTAATGCATGGAAGATCAGCTTCTGATTTATTTTTATTAGTGCAGATGAAAATTACTATGATGTTTCAAGTAGAGCGTAAAATAAATATCTCTAATCTCATTCCATGAGGAATGTTAACTTCCAATTTTATATTCCTTCTCTTTCCCAAACCACCATAAAATGCTTGGTATGCGACTTGAGTGTCTATTCTGTTGTGTTTACGTAGGAAGGTTTCTGTCCTTCTTTTTTCATTCTCATCTAGGAAAAGTATTTTCATTTCTGTAGTTATTTATGCAACAGTGAAAGATGCAGTTCCTTTGATCAGGGGAAAAAGTCTCATTTTTGACCAGAGCACAGAAATGTGCATTTATTCCAGTGGACAAAGGCGTGTTAGGAAATGCAGGACACTGCAGGTGACTTCAATTCAAAGACCACTAAAGCTGAAAAATCAAAGATTTGCTGGCAGGAAGAATACCCAGACAGCCATGGCTCGCGGGGGGGACTGTTTCTACTCCTGTCTTCCTTTTACTGCCTGTGGGTGAAGACCAATGTGGTCCTGAAGACTCCATTGACGTCCAAGTAAGGTTGTCTAAACTGATGTTCTGGGGCACAACCAGGGACTTGAGCCTCCACTTCATTTCCCCAGCTATTTTGGTGCAGGCTGAGGGCAGGACAAGTCCTCTGTGGGCTTCCAGCCCTGTCTGCTGTCCGTGTCCACGCCTTGGGGCAGCTGACGGCACAAAACCAGGCCTGGAAATGGGAAGTGGTGCTGCCATTTCAGAGGTGCACGTTTTGGGAGATCGAAGTAAGGTGTGTCCCAGCTGCTATAACACCTATTCTGCTCTCCTGTTGCTGTTTTATCCTACTTGTTCTGTTAATGTGCAAAATCTGCGTTCACTGCCAGCACTGGCCGTACCAAACAGACCGCTGAGGATAGGGTGAGGATTCTTGTGGCTCAGCGGCTCTGCTCTGAGCTAACAAAATAAACGTGGGTAAGTGGAGTTGGGAATAAGTCATGCTGAATGTTTTCACCCCTGGATAGGTTAGCAAAAAGCACAGTTATAACAAAGCCCAGACTCAATATCTGCATGTTGGAAGATTAAAGCATGGTTCTGTGCCATGGCGCTGTCTCTCTCTGCTGTGTGAAGAGAAAACTGTTTTAAGGGCATTGGACAAAGTGATATTTCAGAGGGTTAATTGGTAACCGAACTAGTGTTGTAGGGGAAATTGTAAAATTCGGAAAAGCGTCTTAAAGGATTCGAGTATCTCTTAATTAACAGAGACTCGTATGTAGGTATGTGCGGGCATGTGTGTAATTGTCAATGCAAAGCCTTTGAGTTGGAAATCATTGGTACAGAAACACAGTTAAGATTTAGAATGGATTTAGTTCAAACAGCCATAGGGAAAAGTCAGGGTATTAAAGCAGCAAGAAGATGTACTGCAAGGCATTCACTTCTGTGTCAATATATTGATTATACTGAAGATGGAGCGCGTGCATACTTGGGCGTTCTGGTAGGAAAAGAGAATTTGTTTGGGGGAATGGGCAAAATCATGGGAAGCGCAGTAAAAAATTAATATAAATGCTTCTTTCTGAAGGTCTCAGGAAGGTTATTGTGAATTTTGCTTTGTGTTCTCGTAAATTGGAGACTCTCCTTTGTGTGGGAACAGCCAAGCATGGTCTAAAGGAGAGCAGAGCAGTGTAGGCTAAGATGCCGCAGGTATAAGGCAAGCGAAAGTCATGATTTGAAAATATTTGTAATGGCAAGGGGTTTACTTTGCTAAAATGACACTTCTGCTGTGAATAATTTGCCGTAATGAAAGTCAAGCGTTCGGCATCCCAGTGAGTTGACACTGGCTGTGTGCAGCGAGAGAGCTCAGAGATGTTCCTGAGCAGATAAGGTTGGTGTTTATTATTCTAGGGAATAACCTGAACAGTATTTCTGTGTTGGTAGCTCACAGAGTCTGCTAAGGACTAATAGTCCTGGGGGCTGGACACCCAGAGTGTGTGATTATGGCTGTGTCTCTCCCAAATGACTTTCCCACCTAGGAGCCCACCAGGTGAATCGCTCAGCGAGCACCGTTCCCTCTGGGCTGGGAGCCTTGCACATGTGAAGTGTTTTGGAGGCAGGTTTCTGAAAGAAGGCTGGGGGAGGTGGCTTTGGGGGTGTTACAGGGTTGATCTGGGAAGGGTCATCGTGAGCCATGGTGGTCTTAGGACTAGTTCTCTTCCGTCAGTTTGTTAGTGGCACCTCTCTCGGAGGGGTTAGGGTGTCAGGTGATGAAAAGCTGCTGTCTGTGTGCTCCGTCCTGCCTGCCCCCTGCAATGCAGCACAGTGCCCAAATGCTTAAGTAACTCTAGACAAACCAGCACACGCTGGAGTTCACTGATTAAATACAAGTACGCTGTGGTCCCAGGGTGCTGAGGCTGAGATGTATCTGCGTGGCCTCGTGCAGGACCCAGAGCCAGTTCATGACTTGATACTGCAGCTCATGGACGTGCCCAAAGGGTCTTATTCCCAGGAGGCAGCTCAGCCCTGCCTGCTGAGCTTTTGTATAAACCAACAGGCCCAGCTGATGTGTTTTCTTGGGCATTTAGGAGCTTAATCTTTGTACTGATTCCTTCAGGAGATACTGGTATGTTTAAGGGTTGCTTGGTCGCTGCCCGTGTTCCTGGGTGAAGGTATTCCTGGAGGACTTATTTTAGTGCGATCCCCCCAGCAGGCAGTCTTTCACTTTAGCATCGTGTACTTTGTAAGGGTACATCTGTAGTTTGTTGTGCAGGAAATGCACTCATTTACCACATCTCGTTAATTAACTGGCACCTATTTCAGGAAACTGTCTCCTGTCTTGCAGCATTTAAAATGTCATTCATTGTAAAAAGTAGCTCTTTAGTTTT